CTCCGGCTCTGTGCTTCTCTGAGAAGCACAGAGCCGGAGACAGAAGCCTGAAGATGATGAATGAGACTTCATCGAAACGTTGCCTAGATACTTCGAATCTTACGCGGGAGAAAACCCGAACAACCAAAGATCCACATACAAATACCCGCGAGAACCTCAGAAAAAATATATATATATATATATATAATATTAATTCAGCTTTGTTCGGGTATTTTCCCACGTCATTATAGTTGTGCTTTTAAAGTTGTAGCAACGTTTCGGCAGAATCTCATCTGCAATCATCAGGCTTCTGTATTGTGTTCGTCTGTGAGTCAGACTTTTACAGTTGTTTCAGTTTTAAATTTGGGGCTAGCCTACTGCTGTGCCAGAATGGTTTTTTCTTCATCCTGATTGGTTGGGAGTCTTGGTCTGTGTTTATTGGTCTTGGAGTTTGCTGTGTTCTGCTTGATTGGTGTTTCTAATATCTTCTGTCTGTTTTGTGGCTCTTTTTTTTTTTGTCTTGATTGGCTGGCAACATTGTGTTCCTGTATTGGAGGCTTTTAGTGCAGCTTGGCTCCGAGCAAATGGACGGCTATCATTTGTTAGGAAGCTAGGTTTCATCTAGGTGCCTGGTTGGGTTGTGTTTGAGCTGGAGGTATCAGGGGGGATCTGTTTGTGCCCAAGTGTTTGCCTGGCTTGTGGTGTGGAGATTTTTTTGTTTGTGAGTGCAGGCTTCCAAATAATTGACAGTCTGGTAGAATCATCTCTTCTATTCATGCTTTCTGGTCTTTTTTCAATCTGTATGGCTTCTCTGATAATTCTGTGGCTGGTGTTTTCTATAGTGGCTAGGGTTTTGGTGCCATTGAAGTTGATGCCATGACCTGTGGCTTTCATGTGTTGGACTAGTGAGGAAGTGTGTTCCAGCTTTTTTACTGCATTTTTGTGTTCATCCAGGCGGGTACTTATTCTTCTATTGGTCTGTCCAATGTATGTGGCCAGGCATGATGCACAGGGGACTTCATATATGCCTTGGTTTTCCAGGTCAATTTTATCTTTGGGGTTTCTAAGGTTGGCTGCTATTTTTCTGTCTGTTTTGAAGGCAGTCTTGATGTGATGCCTGTGTAGTATCTTACTGATTTTGTCTGTAGTACCTCTTATGTAGGGCAGGACAGCTGTTCCATAGGTCTGTTCATCTTCTAGGTCTCCATTATGCCTCAGTCTTCTAGGTCTCCATTATGTCTCATTATGTCTCAGAAGACATTTTATTTATTCTAAAAACTCCTTCCTTGATGGTGTTCATTTAAAGCTGATCCTGTGAAAACAGCCATGAATATCCATTATGCCTCACAGAAAGATAGACATAAGATATCAAAAAGCTGTCAAGGTATTATATTACCTTATAACTACATTGTGAAGTAAAGCCATAATCTCTTGCGGGTTAACAAAGCAGCACTATGAGATTTAAGACACCAATAATAGCTTGGTGGTGCAAGTGCCCTTGATCCTATGCAAATTAAGAGTCTTAACAATGTAGGGATTAAGGGTTCATTTTTAGATTGACTTTTGTTAAATGCATGCATTCACAGAATAGCATCTGTCGTGGAAAATATATGGTATGAGGCTCCTGAATATATTCAGGAATATATTATTTTTCTGTGGAAAAGAATGTAAAGACAGCTTTATAGATCAAAATGTAGTAGACCATTCCCTGACATATTATTTTAAAAAAATAATGTAAGAAAGACCCACAAAACCAATAACTGACTGAAGATAATGAGATTGAAGATTATAATCATAATAACCAGGGTATTGATGGCCTAACATGCACATTAGGACATACCATAAATCTGGTGGGTGTTTTTTTAAAATCTCAGGAAAGTAATGACATGATCTGAACATGGAAGATATTACCACCAGTGTTTTATCAGATGATCAGGTGTCTGTGAATCACAACCACTCTGTGGTTTCTTTTCAACTTCCTGGTGTTGCCCTTCTCCCTAGTCATTAACACATCAGCTTAGAGGCGACAGTGAGTTTTAGTTCTGCCTTAGGCATGAAAGTCAGCTGGGTGACTTTGGGCCAATCTGTCTCTGTCAGCCCAATTTTCATCATAGGATTGTTGATATGGGAAAATAGAAGAAAGAGTATTGGGTATGTTCACCACCTTGAAATATTTAGAAGCAGTTATAAAACAATAAAGGCAGGACAAAAATAATAAAATCTGTCCTCAGTAACGAATGGACCTGAATCAGTTTAAGAGGAAGCTTGAATTTTTTTTCTAATGATTTGAAAACCTTTGCCTCTGCCTGGAAAGATTTGCATTTGTCAGTTGTTTGTCAATTGCAGCTATGTTTGACTTTATAGCCTTACCTAGGATACCAGACTTTAACCCAAATTCATCCAGAAATAAAATATTCTATAACTGGGCTACATCCCATACAAATAAACAAGCCAGTAGAATTATTGTGATGTAGTAGTTAGCTATAGAACGAGGGCCAGGAGACAGGTTTTTAGTCTACTCTTATCCATAAAAACTCACATGACAAAGAAAGTCACTTTCTTTCAGCCTACCCTACTTCACAAGGCTGAAGGCAAAATGAAAGGAGATTACTATATAAGATATTATCAGTTCCTGTGGGGGAGGGGAGAATTATACATATATATAAATAAATTATATATTAATATACCAGTAAATAATAAGCAAATTTACAAGTTAACCTTTTGTAGTGGAATATCTTCTTAATCATCCAGGTCATGGTTTCCCAAAGGTGGTTTTCCAAAAGGCAACTGGACTTTCTTTGTTTTTTGCTTCTGAAAAATTTCTTGGATAAGAAGCACAACAATTTCCAAAGAAAAAACACCAATAAAGTCCAGTTGCCTGGTGTAAAAGCACCCTTTGGGACTTTTGTAATAAAAGTCTGCATTTCCACCAATGCTCATGAAGAAATAAATCCTATGAATTTCATTGTAAGTACCGGTATATAATCATCTGAAGGGATTATACTGTAAATGTAAAACTTATTTATATTTATCTTTTTCATTAGGCAATCCAATTATGTATCAATTGATCATGAAGTGATCAGCAAATAATCATTGCTAGATTGGTGGAATTAGATCTACTCAAACAATAGGCAGCTTCATGCAGGAAGTTACATAGGACTTGAGCACCTTTAGGAGATGGGAATGATATTTAGACTAATAGTACATACAATTTTTTTCTCATGCACTTTAGACTACACTTGTATCCATTGCAGGTTATGTAAAATTTTGAAGTAACTGGGCTTAACAAGTCCCCCCATCCTCACTCTGTGGAGCAGCAAAAGTCAAGACAGCATAAGAGGATCCTTCATGCTTGTTTCGTACATTTTTGTACACCTGAAGAAGAGAGCTAGATGGGTTATAAAAGCAAAGAGATAAGCTTCTGATCTTCAGCTGTGGGGTTCTACAGCTGTAGAATGTGGGGCAAATTCTCTTTTTCAAGGTGATGCTTGATTCTGTAAACAGCAGACATTTGCATCTTGATCAAAGTTTAGCCTTTCCTACTATAGCTAACAAACCACACCTATCCTATTCTGAGTTCAAATAAGAGGAATGACTGAGCCCTGATCAAGTTCACAATACTTTTTTTGTACTTCTTTGCTTGTATACAAGGCTTAATTGTTTTGAATTTGATTTATCTGCTCTTAAAAACTGCTTTAGCTTCCTGTCACTGACTCATCCATTTGGAGTGTCACTTAAAAGCTGGATTCTTCTAAGAGGTGATTTGTTAGAAAAATGAAAATGTTCTGTAATACAATCCTTATTATTGCATCTGTTAACTAGGTCTTTTGTTGTTTTCCACACAGTGTGATTTCCATATGCAATAAATGTAGTTGCTTCACTTTTCTCATTCCAGAAAAAATGATCTAGCCTGCAGGCCTCATTCCTGGCATGCTACCAAATTCACTGAAAATCGGCTTGAAACAGCTGCATCAAGACTCTCCTCCACCAATGTCTGTGCTTCATGGCCCTCTCAGTATCATTCAAGGTGAGTTCCTGTTGAAAGTTACAAGCAGCAGGCTCAAAATAGTAATTGCTTGTCTTATTTTATTCTTAACTTTAAACTGCCAGCAGTGTATCATGTCTTGTTGGGCTTATTGTATGAAGCAAGTTCTGTTATATAAAAATAGTAAATTATAGACCTGAGAGTTATTAATTCACAGTATCTTTTCATTATGAAGAATGAAAAATAATATCTGCAAGTTTTGATGGTCAGTGATTTTTTCTTCTTCCCTACAACCAGTACCAAAATGTATAATCATTTCAAATCTGAGCAGTTATTTTGTACCTTCCTCCAGCAGCATTTGATGGAAGAAATTGAAATTGCTGGTCCAGGGTAGTTTCTTAAAATTAAACATGTATATTCTTCTCTGGCATCTTTTTAAAGATGATGAGAAATAGGTATTGCATACCATTGTCTTTTCAATAATTGAAAAGTTCACAGTAATAATTATTTCTGTGAAAATTCTTCCAGGACTTAAAAAAGAAGTACCTTAATTAAGGTATCAATCTTTTTTTCAATTATTCATAGTACTATGATTTATTTACAACTAACTAAAAAACCCTTAATATAAAATATTCAAATTTGTAATTAATTTATAAATATATTTAGCATTATTGACACTATAATGCAGATTGGTTAAGCTTATATACTATTAAATAAAATATTTTGTTTCCTAATTTATATTTTAACAACTATCTAAGGCTGCAATCATATAGCAATTTAGCTAGAAATAAACCTCTAGGAACTCTGTACAATTTTTTTTCTAAGCATATGTCTATTTTTTTACTGTTTTGCATCTTTTTCAGAAATACTATGGAATTCTTTTTGAATGAAACTAATTCACTTGGGAGTTCTATCTGTGCTGATTTTGTAGTAAGACAGAAGTGAGAAAAAACTTTTAAAAACAAAATATCTGACATACTGTAGTCTTCACTAAAGCCTTTTTCAATTTTGCAATTTTTTAAAAAATGACAATATGGTTTAATATGCAGCTTTAATAAAATATTTCTGTAGGTAATTGTAATGATGGCTTTGTGTATGTTTGTACTATATTAATGGAGGTCTGTATGTTTTATTTGTTGCAGTTCCTTTGATCTTTCAAATTCATGGAATCAATCAAATCTACATCGTACCTCAGGCCAATTCAGCTCTGTGGGAAGCATGGATATCTGGGATCACACACCCCAAACATATCAGTATGGACAGATTTCCGCTGCAAAGTCCAATAGCAGCATTGATCATCTGGGGAATCCCAGCAAAAGAGATTCTGCATATGGTTCTTTTTCTACTAGCTCCAGTACACCTGATCACACATTGTCCAGTGTAGATGCTCTGTCAACAGAGAACGTAATGCATAAAGTGGGCAACTGGGAAACGGCAAAACAAGGGAATAGCAAGACTGTTTCATTTCTGAGTGATAATGGAAGATTTGAAGAAAAAGTTAACTCCTTTGCAACTCCACCACAATACGAAAACAACCTAAGTTCACGACTAGAAGACCATACTAATTCAGTCTATTCTGGGGCTGGACGATCTAATTTTGTACCTGTATGGTATGTCCCTGAAGAAAAAAAGTCTCCTTCCCCTCCACCTCCCCCACCCCCTCTCCGTAGTGATAGTTTTGCTGCTACCAAAAGTCATGATAGAGATCATGCACCTCCTCTATACTCAGAGGGCATTCAGAGCCCCCAGCATTTTGAAGGCTTACATAGGACACCAATCAGAAATGATTGGAGTGCTGAAACTGCTGAAGAACAAAAGCGAATGATCAGGTCAGTTGAGAAAACCTCACACAGAAGACGAGGAAGCAGCCCAATACAAAGACCTGATTTTATTCCAGATTATGATTTCTCTTCCCCAGGTGACAGAATAAACAATAATATGGAACATGCTAAGAGGCTGCATTCTTCTCTGTCTAGTACCGATGTTCGATTTCCCCAGTCTGTTTATGAGTCTCAGAACCATCAACATCAGCGTCAATATAGTGATGAATATAGTTTCTTTCACAATGCAAAAGCCTCTGCATCATCTAAAGAGCCAAAATGGCTCTTTTCTTATAGTGACATTAGGGAAAGGCCTTCTGATAAACATAACTGTCATCTAAACCAAACCAGGATTCCTAGTACCTCCACCACGGCAGTTTCTGACATGAGTTCTGAGGAAAACCCTGGACTAAATCATTATTACTGTGTAAAAGCGAAGCAGCAGCCTGCTCAGGGAACCTCAAAACCATTACAGTTGAAAAATGAACGTAGGAATTCTGGAACAGAAAAACTTGCTGCTTCTGTGTCAAGTGAGAATCCTGTCATAACCATGAGCCAAAATTCTAAATATTCTCTACCTCAGCATCTTACTGAGCCTTCTCTGCATACATGTGAAAAGAGAGCTCATTGTGTAGTTAATAAAGGAGAGGATATTAAAGCTGTTGTACTGGAAGATTCTAGGAAGATAAATTACTCTGAGAAATCAGGTCAGACTTTTGAAGAAAATCTCAGTAGTCATCAAGAATATAAGGATGGGCAGGAGTATTTTCAGGTGTCTGACACTAAAATAGCCCCAAAAGATTTCAAATGGAATCGGGAGAAGAACTATCATATTTCTCCCCAAAAGACCCCAATGTTGCATTCTTTAGCTCAGGAAGAGAAAAGGCAGATTAATGTTGCTGCCGAAATTGGGATTAATAAACAGACAGCATTTGATCTTCACCTAAGCAAAAATGCAAGAAGGAGTGATCGTTTTGCTACCACACTGAGAAATGAAATTCAAATGAAGAGAGCAAAACTCCAAAAAAGCAAAAGCACAGCAGCCTTAGTAGAGCCAACTGAGGAAGAGGAGTATGCTGAGAACTGGAAGCATGATTCTCAAGAAAAGGCAGCTCCTTCATCAGAAAGTTGTTATTCTCACATGTACAAAGATAATCTGAAAGAGGCCCAAGCCAGAGTCTTGAAGGCCACTTCTTTTCAGCGCCGAGACTTGGAACCCAATTCTGCAGATTATCTTCCAAACCGAAAGACAAATATATATAATACTTCTCCATTGACTTTAGTTTCTGAAGATGAATTAGGTTTTCCTGACCTTAGGCAGTCTTCTAAAGAGATATCACTGAGTAATGCTGCTCACCAGCTTTCACGTATTGGTGCTAGGAAGAGATTTACTGCAGAACAAAAGTTAAAATCTTATTCTGAACCTGAGAAAATAAATGAAGTGGGTTTGTTGGATGATAACTGCCAAACACACCATCGTCCAACTACATCAGAGGAAGCTTTGGAAACTTTTGCAGATAAATGGAAGTTTTTTGAAGAGACTAGTAAGCCAGTCTGTCAAAAATCTTCACAAAGATGTGCATCCTACTTTCATTCAGAAGCAGAGTCTGCTACTCCTCGTAGAAATTCTAATGAAATTGAATCTGGAGGATCATGGTCCAAAAAAAGAATGCGGTCAGCTTCTTTTGGAGTTGAGAATGTGCTTTGTGCGTCTGATACACCTAATGAAACTGTACGTTACAGTGGCCATATTGCTAAATCAAGACAACCTCAGAGGTTAGAAACATTTGCAGAATACCAGGCATCTTGGAAAGAACAGAGAAAACATATAGAAAGCTGTAGTTCTGGAAAGTACCATTCAGCTGATAATATCCTTGATGCTGGCCTCGAACAACTTGAGAAGTCTCAGTATAAACATGAACGGTCCAGGTCATCTCCTTCTACTGATTCTTACAAGCAGGTAAACACATTTTACTACATTTTAATTAAAAGCAATGAAAAATAAATGTGTGTGTGTGTGTACATAGATACACAAATAGATAAATAGATATGGTTAGATACACACACACACACACACACACACACCCGTGATACACTGATAAGAGCAATTTCAGGCAACCCTGTTAAAGTATACATTTCAATGAATCCTTACATGAACAGAAACTGACTCAACCTTTGCAGAAAAAAGCAAAAAATGTTAAGTATACTTTTCTGCAAACATGAATGCATACTTACTATAGTATTTGTTTAGTTGTATATAGTATTCAATTAAAAATTGAAAATATGACAGATGTTGATCTATAGACATCTTTTCAGTCAGTATTTTGTAACATCCATTACTAGTAATTAGAGCTTCCAAAAACTATAATTGCTTTGGGGGGGCGGGGGGAGGTTTGGACTGATTTTTTCCTATCTCTCTTGCAGAAGTCAGAAATTTTCTTAGGATTCCTTGCCTGCCACTGCATGTTTGAGATCTTCTCATAGATGTTCAGTAGTCTTATAGTCTGAAGATAAGAGGGCTGTTCCAAACCTTTGACGTTTCTTTCATGTAATGCTTCATAATTATTTTCATGAAGTACCCAATCTCTTTTCATTTTTAATTACTTCAACTTCTGGATATTAGTTTGAAACCAAGAAAAATCTCCACCAGAATCAGAGATTCAAAAGTGGTTAGGTCTGCAAAACAGTATTTATAGATCACTTCAAATGACCTTCCAAAAATTTAGCTAATATTTGTTCAACTTCTGGTAAAACATTGCTTACTGAACAACAAAAATGTATGTATGTAAAGTTATCAGGAGGAAATGTTTTCTATGATTCTATAATTTATTTGTAGAAAAACAATATCTTGCCAGCTGGTAAAAAGAGGAGAGGGTTTACTTATACTTTGTGGTTGTAAGACAGACAATAGTACAGGAAATTCTGAATGGGTGAAGGGAAGAATGGATTTTGCTAAATACCAATAAAACCTGCTCTTGTTTTAAAAGACCTTGAAAACCTGCTTCAGGGTAAAGTGAAGCCCCCCTCCACCCTTTGGACTGTATGGATTTGATTCATTTTATTCCTATCCAGATTTGTTTTCCTTGTGTTTTTGTTACGGTCGTCCTTCTTATCTTTATTTCTCATTTTTGTCTGCTGTATTTTCCCTTATTTTAAATATTTCCATTTATTGCTACTCAGAATAATTCAAAATTGGACCACATGTAAATTTAAAAACAAAGAAGTAAATAATGTCCAGTCAGTGAAGAAACTGAATGTGAAAAGAGAATGCTTCAGGAAGATAATGATCCAAAACATAATTTGTTTCTCACATACCTATTTAAAATGCCAACTACAAATATCCTGCATCATATGTGGTTAACCCCACAGTCTCTATTGTGTTGCTTTTTCTCTTAAATACTGTATAAATGCCTTTAGCATTTCTCCATCATTCATTTCTTCCATCCACTGTTATTTTTTCCATAATTCAGCCCAATCTCTAGACTTGACATTGTTTTTTAATTAAGAGGGCAGTTTATTATCTTGTTACTTAAAAAAAACATTGAAAATATACAGCCTGAAACATTCATTTAAATGTTGGGTTAATTCCTGAAATCTCTGTATTCTACAAGGGATTCTATCTCCATATATGGTACCAATTCCATATATGTCACCAATATACAAAAATAAGGAGGGGAATTTTCCCAACTCAGTTGTGAGGAGCTTTATGGATTATCTGAGAGTCATGCTGGGAGCCAGAAGAGGTTAAGTCTAATATAACTATATTGTTCCATTTAAAAATCCCATGTTTATATATTAGTATTCCCATTTAAAATAAGTATGGAATAGCACATTATTAAATACATGAACCCCTTATCAGATGACACGTTAATATGTGATCATATGGATGGATATGGATGTGGAATAGAGAATTAAAGATTAGATAACAATGAAGAAACAATTATGTGTAAAGTTTAAGATAAGCTAAATATTCATTGCAACAGTTATTGGCCATCTGGAATATTAGCATTGTTCTATAAATAAAATTTTAAAGCAGATTTATAATATATGAAGAAGTTGATGCCTACTGCAAATTATTATAAATTGATCATGGGGGATATAATAAAAAAGCATTTAGTAATCCCTTGGCATTGTGCTACTGTTTTAACATGACTGTAGATTCACATTGCAAAAGTTGCTTTGCAATTTATCAATAAAGTGCTGTTTTTTATGTGAGCTTTTTGTACATTTATTGTAAACAATATGTACATGGAAAAAGGACATTCTAATGGCATAGTCTATCACATTGGAAATGAGCCTACAAATGAGCCTACTATGCTATGAGTAAAGGAAATTGTAAAGGGAATTTATTGTAAAGGAAATTCTCAATAAACCACATTGTAATGGATGGGGCTTGGATCTTCTTGAACACATATTTCCTTATGTTTACAGCCATATATTGCGTGATCAGTTTAATGCTGTTTCAACTATTAGTTGTTTTCTACTTATTTGAAGGGAGATTTCATTTTCAGCACTTGTAAAAGTATGAGAAATCTATATTAGCTGGAAGGCACAGGTAAAAGAGATGAATACTTTTTCTTCTGACTATGCCCTGCAGTAAATTATACACAAATGGGTGCCATTTCAGTTTATTTTGTCAATATATTAGATTGTCAAGGTATCAAAGCTATAGTTTAGATCCTGAGTGTACAGCAGGCGTGTTCAACCTTGGCAACTTTAAGACTTCTGGACCTCAACTCCCATGCTGGCTGAGAAATTCTGGGAGTTGAAATCCACAAATCTGAAAGTTGCCAAAGCTGGATACCCTTGCTCTAGAGATTATATCAATCATCTTCAATTTAATGCTTCCAGGTGTATTAACATTTCAGTTTTCATAATCCCCAGCTATTCTTTATGCTGTCGGAGAAAATATGGAACTTGAAATTGAAAATATCTGAAGAGGAAAGAATTCATTGGAGAAATGATAGATAGATAGATAGATAGATAGATAGATAGATAGATAGATAGATAGATAGATAGATATAATTTCACAGGTACAAATAATTATGTTAAAGCTTCACTCTTTTGTAAAAAAAATCTTGTTTATGTTGCATACTAAATACAGCACCATAATCAATAGTTTTTCAGTGTCCTTATTTAAGTTTTTCCCAAACAGAATTGCAAATGATTATAGTTCTTCCTTTTAACTGGTTGGGATGAATTAGTAACTTGAATAAAAAGTTTGTGAAACTAAGATGTTACATTTGGTTTAAGCTAAATCAGCAGAAGGCGGGATACTTTGTGGACTTCAGGCAAATCCACAAATGAAGGGGTGTGTAATAATATGTTTAAGGAAACTGAAACTTGATGATTTGTTGTGTTACCATATTATAAAACTGTGTTTTCAGGAAACATCAACAGAAGCAAAGAGACATACTGAAAAATCCAGGAAAGATGAAAAGCTTATTTCCTCCGTTGCAAAATCAGATGAAAGCAGCTGCAATTTGAGGTAAACAAGGGGATTTTTCTTGACGTCTTAATAGCATATATTGCAGAAAATACTTAGTCAGATATTTTCTGGGAAGAACAGAAGCTGTTGAATCTATTTTTATATTCCTCATTTTGTAAAATGTGCTTCTAAAAGAAAATAAATGTTGAAAATTAAGTATATATATTCTATTTTGATGTTATAGAAATATTTAAATAATTGTGTTGTTACTATTAGAGAAAATATTTAAAATATTTGATATCTTAAATAAGCAAATTGTTTTTCTTACTAAAATTAAGCTGAATAATTTCTGTCAAAAATGATCATTCAAATCTATTTTTATGGAGAAATTAAGCACATTTTGGAAATCAATGGTCCTTAGATTTTCTGAGGAGCCCACTTTTATGTAGTAATGTATTTCAAAACTGTTGTTCCTGTTGCTTAGTATGAAAGCTATTTTAAACCAGAGAATTGTGTTTCTGTTTTAATAGTATGTTAAATTTCTGCTCTCTAAAAACCGAAGTGAAACTTTCAATCTTCTCCTTGTGGCCTGCTAGAGAAGGAGAAAGAAAAAAATAGGGTTGCACAAAGCAACATGGCTGCGATTTATTCAGACAAATGAAGCTTCTGTATGTTTGAATTTGCCACCAAGTATTCTGTTTATTTGAATAGTGCTAGCAACTTACTGTGTACCACATTACTTTTGTAAAGCTTAATAATCACAATTGACAAACAAGACAACAAACAGTGAAAGATTCTGAAAATGGATGGCCAAATTACAAGGAGAGAAACATAATTGAAGGCTCCACTGTTTTACAATAAATATACAACTGCATGAATGAAAGTAGTACCTTACTTTCATTCATGCAGTTGTATATTTATTGTAAAATTAACATCTCACTGGCATCTCTTTTACATGTATTATAGTAGTGCTTTACTTCATAATCAATAGGCATAAGGAAGTTAAAGATGTGAGCATGATGCAAATGCTGTATAGCATTGTAAGTGGGAGAGAAGCAGTTATTTAATAAGTATTTATTTAAATATCTCACAACTGAGTTGCGGACTCCCAACTACTGCTGTGTTGTAGATGTTATTGCTGTTATTGTTATCAGCACACGTGGAGAGCTGCTGGAAAACAAAGTTTTAACTGTTTTAGAAATGATTTTAGAATAGATCATAAGTTCAATCTTTCATAGTTGTATATGGTTAATTTGCTACAATATATATACACATATACACACACACCTTTCTGGAGAACTTTGAACCATACGGTGTATCTTCTTAAAAAGTGACTGAAGCCTGGGAAACAGGCCCCTCATCAGTCAACAGGAATGCTGATTTACTTAGAAGGTGAGGACTAGGCAGCACAAGCCAAAGATAGCCAAGGACTTAAAGGCAAGCCATCAACACACCCCAAGCAGCATCTAAAAAGCCACATACTACAGGCATCATACACACATAGAACATTGCTAGACAGAAGTTCCCTGAAGATGGGCTCCAACACGAGTCCCAATGCTTGGAAGACAAAACCTCTAGTCACAGTGACCGACCCAGATGGAATCCTGCTTCTTAAAAACTCTTTATATTTAATTATTTAATCAATAATTTAATAATTGAATTGTTCCTAACCATTCAGGATTAGAAACATTGCTTTCTTTTTGAATTTCCCTCAACTCGCACCAGGCAACCGACTGCGGATTGAGAATCCCTGGTTTATAATACTGTTGAATTATGCTGCTTTTAAAGTTTCAACTAGGAAGAAGCCAATTTGGGTAGGAGTGTTAAGTGTTGTGTGATACATGCAGTACCAGTGACACACAGTCATAATATAAAAAGTTTATTTTTCTATTTTTGATAGATTTACAATTCATTCTAATATTAGAATGCTAGCAATGAACAATCACAATAACCTGTAAGAAAACAAATTCTTAATAAATGACCATGCTAACTGGGATTGCTGAGAATAGTAGTTCAACAATATTAGAGGATGATCTATATATAAAGCATGACACGTTTTGTTGATAATCAAAACTAAAAGAGTCTTTATAAACTCCTTTACTAAGTATTCCAGGATTCTTCTGGAGGAATCAGTATATAATTGTTGGCACATGCTTTTTATTAGCATTATTTGTTATCTAGGAACTTACACCCTTAGACACATTATAAAAGTTGAAAGTTTTCGTTTCCTGTACAATTAAAAAAACATAGTAATGCCAAATCTAAGCACAAAAAGCATTAGAACAAATCAGCTTTGTAGAAGAATATTTTGTTATTTTTAATATTCCACCAATACAGTTAGTCCTTGATTTATGATCACAACTGGGACCAGAATTTCCATTGCGAAGCAAGGCAGTTGTTAAGTGAGCTGTAACCAGTTTACAACATTTTTTTGCCATGGTTGTAAAGCAGATCACTGCAAGTTGTTCAGTGAACCACACAGCCATTAAGTAAAACCAGCTTCCCACATTGACTTTGCTTGTTGAAAGCCACTGAGAAAGTCACAATATGACATTCACATGACCCCAGAACACTGTAACTATTGTAAACACATGCCAATTGCCAAGCAGCCTAATTTTTATCATGTGACCATAGGGAGGCTGCAATGGTTGCAAGCATGAAGAGCAGTTTTAAATAAAAAAATTTCGGTGCATTGTATCTTTGGTTAATAAATGAATAGTTATAAGTCAACTATATGAAGAAATATTTTATTTTCTGTAGAAATATTTATAATGTTAAATGTGACAATAAAGACAGTTAAGAATACATGGGTACTCTATACAAATTACATTTTAAAAATAAAATAAAATATTGCAGTACAGTAATTATTTTTCATTGACACATTTTCCCTGTTTCTCTCTTTGGATCACAATACAGTCTTTGTATGTGGCTCCTTGATGAGATCATGGTCTCCTTTGATGTAGTATCTCTATTTACATCCATCCTCCCCACCCCAAACTAGCATATGAAGTAATAGGTTTAAAAAAAATAGAAGAATAAAACACAGATCAGAATAACTAACCAGGACACAAATCATGAAGCTACTCCAATACTTTCTTCACATTCAAAGGGGCATGAGCAAATAAAAGGGACACCGATGGTATCCCAATATCAGGTGTTATTGCAGAAATTATCTTGTGCAAACTAGAACAGTCTGCATTTCAAACTACAGGTCTACACTTAGGTGCCGCTACGTGGACGACACATTTGTCATCAAAATTAATGCACTGAAAGACTTTCCTATAGTGTTCTGACACAAGAGTTGTGTCAATAGCACCCAGCAAGCTAAACAACTGAAGAAAAGGTACCTTCCTTCAAGCATAATAGGTACCTACAAGTATTTATTACAGGATGCTGGCACAGAATGCAAAGGAAGAAAAAGTCTGTAGAGATTCTGAGTCATCCAGGTCATGGTTGTCCCAAAGGTGCTTTTTCAAGAGGCAACTGGACTGTCTTGCTTTTTATTTTGAAGACGTTTCACTTCTCATCCAAGAATCTTCTTCAGCTCTGACAGGGCAGTGGGAAATAGAAGGATTTATATTCCTTGCAGACAGCTGGTAATCTGCATCCTTTTAGAGGGTTGTTGAAGCGCTAGGAGATTTATCTGTGTCCTCAGGTCACCTGAGTAGTGCTGGTTCCTATAATCTGCAGTTTTTTCTCTGGAAATCCATACATCAAAAACATTTTGGGGGCAGTAGAACTCATCTTTTGAGATCTGCAAGTGGGCATTGCACCGTTCCCAGAGCTACCATATGAGGACAAATTATGCATTGTAAAGATCACTTGGAGGTGGGAGATACTTCCAATGTTATCTACCAGATCCCCTGCATGGATTGCCCTGTAACTATGTAGAACAAAGAGGTTTCCGGTTGATCAAAACAAATATTCTTTATTATCTGCTTCTACGACTGGGCACGACATTATCTGGAACTATGTATTGTCAGCAACAGCATTCTTGATACTGCAGTTCTGGTTTTTCATCAAAAGCTGCCTGACTCCCTGAGAAGCAGTGCCTAAGCATCAACTATGCTAATGAACCTGTTAAATCTTTGGACTTAAAATTATTGTAAGAGATGGAAATGCCAAGCATTATACTGTATATTACTATAGATTAAAGTTGTATTAAAATAGGATAAAAGATAACATGGGGATACTCAAATTCCTATCTCTAGAACTGTGGAGCTCACTGACTGATTTTGCCAAGCTAATTCCCTTGATACAACCTACCTCACAAAGTGACAGTGGTGAAGCTGACTTCCTGTATGCTTCCTTGATTTCTTCAGAGATAGGGGAGATGGAAATGTAATACATACACAGATATCATCTCCCAGGTCTATGATGGCAAGTTATTTCTTTGAAAAAATGGAGGATTAATTGTTGAGGGTTACAGTTCAGTTTATTAAGACCCTTTCTTGTGGATCTGCAGCAAAATTATGGTTAGAATGCTGCCCAGCCAATTTATTTTAAATGGTGTCCCATGCCATTCCATGGCATTTGCTCAATTTCACTGCTATTTCCATGAGAAAGACAACATAACACACAATATTTGGATTTTTAATACTGTTCTTATCCCAGAATGCTGGCTTAACCTGCTGAGTCAGATCATTCATTTGTCTGGTCATTACATTGTTAGTTCTAATTTCCCCTGTAGCTCTCACAGTGCTGTGGCCAGCTGACTCTCCCATCTGTACCCAGTTTGAAATGTATTGTGCAGTGCAGATTTACACCCTTGAAGAGACCATTGAAAGTTATGAATAAGCAAGTTATAAGTAGCATTAGTAATATGAAGCAGTATTACATTGAATCCAGCTACTGGATTATCTAGTGTATGCCCGTCTGCTCTGCCAGTTCCCAAAGTCTTAAGGCAAGACTTTGGCTATTTATCCATCAAGGGCTGCATTTAGCTTTAATTACAGTAGTTAGTAATGTAGACAGCAGTTCCCAGTGGTGGAGATCTAATGCAGGTAGGATCTCTCCTTTTCTCATTGTCAACTTGATTTTTCTTTATAGCAGGGGAAAAG